CTGTCTCTATTATCTAAGTTCTGTAATCTAATTTATTTGATTTGGGAATTAATTTGTCCAGAATGACTAATTGTTCTGATCTTGGGTTTCACTTCTTGCTCAGTGATATTTCTCCTATTCACTCTTTGAAAATTTTTCTCATAGATGGATAAAACAAGCAAGAAAAAAGGACTAACAGATTTCCCTTCTTCTGTTGGTCAATAGAATAATATCGCCAAGCAATAATTCAGCTTTGCTTTACGATTTTTACAAGCCTTTGATCATTTCAAGCATCTTGACACAGTGTTCTATGTGCCTGTTACTATATTGGATTTTTTACATGTCTTTTTAAAAATTTAGGCTTAATAGAGAACTTCCTGCGTAGTCCTATATATCTCTTTACTTTCTCATAAAGATTATTTGTATGACTTATTTTTTATAGTTTATCTTCCTCCATTCCAATTTAATGTAGAGCTTTAAAGAATGTAATGAATTTCAGCTCTGCCACTTAATGACTTTATGTCCCTGTTAAATTCACTACCCTCTCTGAACTACTTGATTCATTACAAAAACGGGGATAAGAATAACTGCCTTATAAGATTTTGTTGGGATTTAATAAGGTTAATACGTTTAAAACCCATAACATAGTGCCTGGCGTCTAACAAGCTCTAAGTGAATGGTAGATGTTACTGGAGTTTTCCTATCTCTAGGGATTTCAAGGTCAGCTTTCCTGAAGAGCAGGACACTTGTCTGGCTGTGCTGACTCCCCACTTTGAATTACACACTTTGAGATGATGCTTCTTATCATTTCCACACTCTTACTATTCTGATTTAGATTCAGAAGATTGGTTCCTCTTTTAAAAAAACATTTTTATTGAGGTATAATTCACATATCATATAGTTCACCCACTTGAAGTGTACAGTTCACTGATTTTTAGTATATTCACCACGAACTCCAGAACATTTTCATCACCCCAGAAAGAAACCCTGTGCCCATCAGTAGTCATTCTCCATTCCTCCCTTCTCCCAACCCTTGGAAACTACTCATCTACCTGCTGTGTCTGTGGATTTGCCTGTTCTGGACAGTTCATATAAATGGAATTCCTACAGCGTGTGGCATTTTGTATCTGACTTCTTTCACTTAGTACATTGTTGTCAAGGTTCATGTATACTTCATTTCTCCTGATGGCCAAGTAATACTCTGTATTATGGATATAGCACATTTTGTTTACTCATTCATTGGTTGGACATTTGGGTTGTTTCCACTTTGGAACTAGTATGAATAATGCTGCTGTGAACATTTGTGTACAAGTTTTTGTGTGACCATCCGTTTTCATTTCTCTTGAATATATACCTAGGAGTGTAATTGTTGGGTCAGATGGTAATTCTGTGTTTAACCCCTAGAGGAACTCTCTTTTCCAAAGTGGCTACATCATTTTACACCCGCCCGCTGCTAAAGCAGTGTAAATTTCAGCTGCTCTGTTTGCTCGCCAGTAGTTGGTGGTGGTTTTGTTTGTTTTTGAGCTGTTCTGACTGGTGTGTAGTAGTAACTCATTGTGGTTTTAATTTGCAGTTTTCTAGTGGCTTGTAATGTCGAGCATGTATGTGCTTTTTGCCATCTCTGTCTTCTTTTGGTGAAGTGGCTGCATAAATATTTCCTCTTTTTTTATTGGGTTGGTTTGTTTTGTTACTGAGTTTTGAGAATTCTTTATGTAATCTGAATATATCTTTTATCAGATGTTTTGCAAATATTTCTTCCCAGCCCACGGTTTCTCTTTTTTTGTGTTCGTAATACTGACATTTGGAGAAAGGTTTTTCATTTTGATGAAGTCTAATTTTCCTTTTTTTCTTTTATGGATTGTGCTTTTAGTGGTGTAGCTAGGAAATCTTTGCCTAACTCAGGGTCACAAAGGTTCTCTCCTGTGTTTTTTCTAGACGTTTTGTAGTCTTGGGTTTTATATTTAGGTCCGTGACCCATTCTGAATTAATTTTTGTGTATGCTTGTTACTGGATTTTTCATGTCACTGTATTGCCTCTAGTTAACTCAGCTCTCACCCCAAAAACTCATGAAATTTTTAAACCGGTTAATATTTTGCAAATAGCAGTAATAGCAATAAGATGTTACTTCTTCCCCTAAGGACCGTCCTGCCCACGTGTTCCTTTTGCTGGACGAGTTACCTGTGTATTTCATTCCCTCTCTCCAAGTCTGTGTGCAGATGTCACTCCCAGTGAGTCTTCCCTACCCACGCTATTTAAAACTGTAACCCCTCTCCTTTCAGTCGTCTGGTTCTACTTCCTGCTTTGTTTTTCTCATAGCACTTTACTATCCTCTGCCTGAACTTTACTTAATTGTCTCTCCTATCAGAATTAAGGGCCCCTCAGGGCGGTGTTTTGTTCACTGATATATGCCTACCACCTAAAGTGGTGCCTAGCGTACAGTAGGTGCTCAGTAAGTGTTGAGTGAGTGAATAAATATATGAAGTTATACATACTTGCCACAGTTTTAAACCTCGGAGCTTCTAATAGGGACATTAACACAGGAAAATAATCTTACAATAAATTATTTAAGATGATTTTTTCAAACATTTGCTATAGAAACTTTTATTTTTATGATCATTTAAAAAAATTATTTGCAGGGTTCAGTTTGGCAAAGACTCGGTGCAGACGTGACCGCAGTTGAGTTTTTGGGTCATGTTGGTGGGATTGGAATTGATATGGAGATATCCAAAAACTTTCAACGCATCCTTCAAAAGCAAGGATTTAAATTTAAAATGAACACGAAAGTTACTGGTGCTACGAAGAAGTCAGATGGAAAAATCGATGTATCGTAAGTGTGCTGCGTCTGCTTTTGATGGGATGCCTTGCTGTGTGTTTCTTTAAGAAGAAACTCAGGTTTTAGAATCAGATTTTTAAATAACTTAATACCATTTTATTGCATGGTGTAACTCAGTATTGCTTGGTAAATCTGTCCATTGAAATTCATGATCACATTGATGCTAGAAAAATTAATCCAGTGTTCTCATGTGTAACGTCCTTTTTCATAGTATGCATTTAGAAAAATTTAAACTCTTTTCAATATTCAGTATTCAATAAAATAACTCCATATTTTTATTGACAGATACATGAGGAAATCAGTAATAATTTGATTGCTTACTGTGTGCCTGGCTTTCTGTTTATTTAATACTGAAATAACTTGTCTAAGGTCGCATTGCTGGTGGGGACAGAGCCACTGCTTGAACCTGGTCTGTCTCACTCTAAGACCTGTGTTCTTAACTCGTGTTCCCCTGCCTGTTGTGAGATTTTAATGACGGACCTCTAGAGGATTATGTACATTTTTTATTGCCTGACCCTTATGTTTGTTGTATTTGTTTTGTAACAAACTTACATTGTTAGAAGTGTCATCAATACCTGAGAAGTGTCTGGTCTTAAATTCCCAAGTCTGTCAGCTATTCACGGAGATGTGTGTCTAACAGATGTGTGCTGTACACTGTCTAGCATTGAAGCTGCTTCTGGTGGTAAAGCTGAGGTTATCACTTGTGATGTACTCCTGGTTTGCATTGGCCGACGACCCTTTACTCAGAATTTGGGACTAGAAGAACTTGGAATTGAACTAGATCCTAGAGGTAGAATTCCAGTGAATACCAGATTCCAAACTAAAATTCCAAAGTAAGTTGGATATTTATCTGTATTTTCAGTCATTGAAAAATTTCACACTGTTTTGAAAATAAGACTTTTGTCATGCTTAAAAAATGCATTGGCTTTAAGGAAGAACTAAACTTAGCATGTGAAAGCAAAAATAATTAGTTGAATTTTTCATTACCCAAGATTAAAACCTGAACTCATAGATATTTGAAGAGCTTTATTTGGCTTTTTTGGTGGCTTAACTGGAAACTTAAATTTTTTGTTACCATGGCGTAACTGAAGATGAGTGTCTGTGATTTCAGAAGTTCGCTGTTTCTTTTGATCTCTGTGGCAGCATCTATGCAATTGGTGATGTGGTTGCCGGCCCAATGCTGGCACACAAAGCAGAGGATGAAGGCATCATCTGTGTTGAAGGGATGGCCGGGGGCGCCGTGCACATTGACTACAATTGTGTCCCGTCGGTGATCTACACACACCCTGAAGTTGCCTGGGTTGGCAAATCGGAAGAGCAGTTGAAAGAAGAGGTAATCCTGACCCTAGGTGGTTTCACTCTAATGTGGGAACTGGGTTAATGACACACGTGGCTGAGAATCCTTTTAGTATTATTGCATTTATGCATTTTAGTAACTAGAACGTTGTAGGTCAGTTTGTGTTTTTTACTTTGCTAGTGTCATCAAGGAGCTCACTCACTTGCCTGTATTCCTTAAAAACGAGTCATTCTAGAGCTCTTATCTTTGTATGCAAAATATTTATCAGTGACAAGCCTTTTGGTCTTTCCTTCTGTGTGCTTTGTGAAGAACTGCCTTCTTGGGACTGGTTTTCTGAACAAATGGTAGAAGATTTTACCAAAGGGGAACGAACTCTTTCAAGCGAGTTTATGTAGGTTCTCATTTTCTGTCTCTCTCAGGGTGTTGAGTACAAAGTTGGGAAATTCCCATTTGCTGCTAACAGCAGAGCGAAGACCAATGCTGACACAGACGGCATGGTGAAGATTATTGGGCAGAAGTCGACAGACAGAGTATTGGGAGCACATATCCTCGGACCTGTGAGTGCTGGGAAAGCAGTGCGATTCAGATTAATTTAAAACCACCTGGCGTTTACCTTCTGCGGTTGTTACTTACTAGCAAAGGTTTGAATGTGGCCTCTTTGTGCAGCGTTTTCTAGGACAGTACCGCCAGTACTCACGGTCCTGCCCACCAGATGGGCTGCTCTGTGCTGCAGCTCAGATTGTCCATTATTCCTCTAAAACACAGACCAGGCCACTTGCCTGCTTAAAACTCTCTAGCGGTCCTTTGAACTTCAGACTTACACACAAGGCCCCACTCAATGTGGTCCTGACTATCTTTCCTCTGAAGTCACCTCTCCACCCATTTTGTGTGTGTGTGTGCGCTTTGTGCTTACTGTACCCTTTGCTTAGAATCCTCTGCCTCCAGATCTTTGCATGGCTGGATGATTATTCAGGTCTCCGCTCCAATGTTACTTCTAAGAGAAGCTTTTCCTACCACTGCATGTGAAGTGTGCCCTCTGCTGGGTGTCTGGTGTGTCAGTAGTGATAATAGAACATTTGAGTGCTTACTCTGGAACAGCTGTTCCTAAATATGTGCATTAACTTTAATTTCCACAACCCTGCGAGGTAAGTGTTGCTGTTCCCATTTTGGAGGTGAATAAACAGAATGAGGCAGAGTCAGCAAGCAGTTGATGTGGTAAGTGGCAGGACTGGCATCGAGGCCACCTGGCTCCAGGTCCCAAGCTCTTAACTTGTGTGCTGCTTTATCTGTTAACTGCCTCCAGTCAGGAAAAGCTTAACTGTTACAGTCTCTCCTATCAGAAGGTAGTCGTCTTTGCCATGGAAACAAAATTACTTCTTGGTGTATTATCTTAAAGGGTGCCGGTGAAATGATAAATGAAGCCGCTCTCGCACTGGAATATGGAGCGTCCTGTGAAGATATAGCCAGAGTCTGTCACGCACATCCGGTAAGTGAGCATCCACAGTTAACGGCTGCCTAAATTGTCTTCTGACCCATAGACCCTTGGTTTTTAATTTTGAATTTCTTCCCTTGCAGACTTTATCAGAAGCTTTCAGAGAAGCAAACCTGGCGGCATCATTTGGCAAATCAATCAACTTTTAAATTAGAAGATTATATTTTTCTGAAATTTCCCAGGAGCTTTTTGTAGAGGTCACATTTCTGAACAGGAAATGCTCAGAGCGCCAAAAATTTCTAGGACTGAATTATGAAACTTTTGGAATGTATGTAATAGGCTTGGACAGAGTTGAATAATCTCATCTATTTTAAATAAATATTTTGCTTCAGTGCATTCATATTGCAGAAAAAAGCTACGTATAGTAGCATCCTGGAAAATTTTCAACACATTTTCATGCTGTTTATGAAAGGTTCAGCTTCACTCAGTTTATGTTAACTAGGTTTTATTTCTGATACAGTAAAGTTGGATTTACTTACATGGATGGAGCTGGAGTATGGTATGTGAACAGCTGTGTTTGAAGCAAGGTGATCAAGTTATTTTAAACTTGGTTTTCACATCGGAAGCAGTCATTAGAATAAGTTGAAAACATACATCAACAACTTGTAAATAAAAAGTGGTCTCTTTTATTTAATCCCCAGATTCTTGGAGTTTAGAGCTAGAATTTATGTGTTTAGATTTTTAAGATTCCATCGAGGTCCACAGTCTGAGGTATTGTTACATACAGTTAACCAAATTAAGGTGGTATATCTATAAAATTCAAATATTAAATGGAGAACCAATGTATC